TCAATAAGATAGCTGCATAACTGAGTATGAATAACCCTCTCCAATACCTTAGAAATCACAGGTAGTAAACTTATGGGGCGAAGTTCCTGAACACATTTTGGATGCGGTGTTTTAGGTATGGGACAGACGATTGACTTGCGCCAGGATTCAGGAAAATAGCCCATCTCCAAACAACAGTTAATAATATGGGTTAGGTGATCGAGAATATAGGGCATACAGAGCTGTAGCATTCGAAGTGAGATATTGTCACATCCGGCAGCATTGGACTTGATGCCGTCAACCACACTATGAACAGTTTCTCTGTCAGTCAAAGTAAAAGCAAAAACACTTTCTGAGAATCTATTGCCTGAGAAGTAATTAATTTGGTCGATGCAGTTGTCAGACTTGTTAAATATACTCACAAAATAGTCATTTATGACATTTGGGTCTTGCAAGTTCGGCGGCAGCTCATTTTCATTACCTGTAGAAGTTTTGATGTTTAGATCGCTCAGACCACGCCAGAATTTTTTCTCATTTTTACTCCTTTGCAAGTGTTCAAGATAGGCTGCTTTTTCCCTTCGAATGGAAGCCAGCGCAAAGTTACGTGCTTCCTTATAGTAATTCCAGTTTTCTTGGGTTTTATTATTTCTATATTTGGCAAGGGCCTTGTCCCTCTGTTTTAAAATTATTTTCAAGGTGTCAGTCAACCAGGGAGCAGGTTTTTTGCTAACCCTGATGATCCTACAAGGAGCATGGATATTAAATAAATTAATAATGTTTTGTTCTAAAAAGCAAACTTTGTCATTTAAGTTAAGGATATGAAAAATATTGTTCCAAGGAATACACGTTAAATTCGCTTGAAACTCACGCAGATCAAAGTTTTTAAAATCGCGTAGCTCAATAAATTTTTGCTTTGGTTTCTTAACTACTATGCTTAAAGAGCATACAGACATTTTATTGTGATCGCTAATATCTGAAGGGACAGTACCACTATTCAGACAAACATCTTTGGAATTAATAAAAATTGGATCTAAACATGTACATGATGTGTTTGTAATGCGAGTTGGTTCATCTATTAACTGAGAATACCCGTAAGTGTAAAGGATGTCAAACAAAGAGTTAGGTTTAAGCATATCAACATTAAGATCTCCTGTAATAATAGAAAAATCATAATCAGACAACAATTGGGGGATAATGCCCTCAAGGAAATCAATAATTTCTGTCACTCTAGTATTCGGGGGTCTATACACAATCAACAAAGCAATTTTGTAAGTACCAACCCTCAGGCTCAGAAGCATACCCTCAAAGCTCACATTGTTCAAATTAATACTTACAATTTCATGAGAAATGGTAGATCTAAGAAATACGCCAAGACCACCACCGACTCTACCCCTTCTATCCTCTCTACAAAAAGCAAAATCAGGCAGTGACACTAATTCAGACGTAATAGAAGGATTAAGCCATGTTTCTGTTACACAAACAATATCATATGAATTTCCTATCAAATCACGAAAACTTACAAAACTAGGTAATAGAGATCTTACATTTAGATTAGCAATGGTTAAAAAAGACTGATTAGAAACACTCCTATCATACCCCAGTACCGCCATCAGGATTGTCCATAATCAATTTTACTCTTTAGAATTTCTAACAGATGCATGTAAGATGGGCATTCAGCATTGCTGGCTTCATGGTAAATGTCATAGGAAGTCTTATATCTTTGGTTAGCCTTATCACAGTTTATACATTTTTTGGAAGATTTGGGACACTCGCGAACATCATGAGTGCCGGCACAGTATTCACAAATGATTTCATTTGGACAGTCGGTATTTTTGTGATAATGACCCTGACATTTGAAGCATCTGATGATGCTTAGGTCTTCATATACACGGTATACTCCCCACTGCAAATACACCTTTCCATAATCCATAAATTTACGAAAGAGTTCCGGTGAACACTCACCATATATTGTGTTCGTTTTCTTATTTTTTAATTTTTTTAAAAAGCTTATCTTCAAAAAATCATCATCAGCAATATATTGGTTTTGGTTTCTAAGAAAATCCGTCACTTGTTCCAGTGAAAGGTCTTCATCAAAACCCACTATTTTTATTCTAGGCAATTTTAATTTGGTTAGATGAATGTCATATTTGTTATTTAAAGTTTTCTTAGCCTCCTCCTGTAATATTTCAATCTCTTGCTTAGACTGGCATTTAATAACAAGACTACCTCCCTTTGTCTCCCTTGTATTTCTCACACCAACATTCAAGCTGGAGGGATTTATCCGATTAAGTAAGTCTTCCTTGGTTTTTTTAGATGATTGTTGCTGTTTTGGCTTTATAATAAGATTAGGAATATTTTTTTTAGAAAGTGATAATTTACTCTTCTCACTAGTTACAGATGAATAAGTAGGTTTGGTACTCTGAGATACTGAAGTATCTATTTTTGCATGTAAGCTGCTCACTTGTTCTGTAAGTTTGGAATTACTAGAGGTGAAATCTAAAATTTGCTTATTAAACTCCCCAATTTCATTTTTGTGAGAATTTTTGAGGTACAAATTAAGTTCCTCAAATTCTTTCTTCATGTCTTCAATAACACCAATCAAATACGGAATTTTTGTTAGCATTTTTTTACATACATCACACATAAACACTAACAGACGCTTTTGTAAAGGCATAACTCTCATTTCTGATGAGGATAGGGGCATGCATTGTTTGTGTATTTGTTTCTGGCAGCAATCACACTCATAAAATTCAGTTGTGTCCATTATTTCAGAACACTTGTAACACTTGGTTTCGTTCCCATCCATAATTACCTAGTTAGGATAATTTCAAAATACACCTGGCAACGCTGGCAACCAAAACCATATGTTCACATAAAAATTCTTGTTTTTATTCCACTTTTCACTTTTCTATTTTAGGTAATTTCACTTGTACAGTATATTTAGTAGGTATTAAGCACCTCCATGCACATTCACAAATTTCCTACACTATATGGCAATGGTAGTTGACCGAACGACGCGAAGCGGAGTTCGGTCAAGCCGTTAAGGGGAAAAAAGAAAGGATTTTTAATCATAAATACCAAAGTCTACTTTACCGCATACTATACGGTAAAGTTAACGTTACCGCACACTATGCGGTAAAGTAACTTCACCGCATAGTGTGCGGTAAAGTGCCACTTTACCGCACGCTCGTAGGTAAAGTTACTTTACCGCATAGAGTGCGGTAAAGTAGATTTTGATATTTTTAATCAAAAATCCCTTCTCTTCTAGGAAAGGGATTTTTGATCATTTTTAAATTTAATCTAATTTGATTTATTAATCTGAATCGTTAATTAATTTTATTACTGCCTTTTCTTGGAGATGTAGATGCTCATAGGTAAAATGTTGTGCCTAACACATGCCTAACACATTGTGTGCGATAAAGTATCATTTTCCGCATTTGTTAGGTAAATAATAAATAATTAATTAAATAGTATTTTTGATACCCATTATAATTCCATCCTTATCTATCAATCACGAATTAGATGAAATAAAATATTACCAAGAAAAACGAACTTCGATTGCTAATACGTCAATAATTGACGTATTAACAATCGATTTCATGTACAAATAGGAAATTATTTTTTTCTACAAACGTCACTAAAAGTGTCATTTTTAACGCATGCTGTCAGTGTCTAAAATGCCATTTTATGACACTGGTGTTAAAAGTGATTACTTTTAGCACTAGTGCTAAAAGTAATCACTTTTAGTGCGTTTGTAGAAAAAATAGTGTATGATATTCGTGCTAAAAGTGATTTTATTTTGTTCAAAGGGATGGAACACTCCGCCTTTGGCGTCGTGTCCCAAACTTCCCTTTTCACAAAATAAAATGTCACTTTTAGCACTTATATCATAAATAACTATTATTTGTGTGTTCAAGAAGCGACATACGTTTTAAAAAATTTATACTTCTTCTAATTCCTAAAAAATCAAATGTTTGACCATTTCTTTTAGGATTAGTAGATCCAAAAACAAATAAAAAAACAATATGTCAATTTCCGCACGCTCGTAGGAGAAATATTGTACCTAACACGAGCGTAAAGTATCTTTTCCGCACTAACGGCTTGCCGCTGCGTGCAGAAAAGTATAAGTTTCCGCACTTGTTAGGTAAATAACTATTTTCGGACAAAGTGAATGAGTTTTCATTAAAGTGTGCAGAACATATTCTGACAATTCTGTTAGCCGGTTCGAGTGTTAATTTTGTGTGCTTATTTATGTTCTGCAACAAAGCCTAAAATGTCTTTCCATTGCTGACACCTTAAAAAATATATGATTGCGTTTTAATTTTATCAAATCGCAAAAATTTCAAATAAAATTTACTACACTTTTTGCTTGGCGCACCCGATATAGAACGCGATGCAAGCCACCCGGTAACTGAAGGCATAGACGAGGGTCCTCTTGAGCAGGGAAACCATAGGCTAGAAGTAGCGCGTCGGCAGGAGGGGAATTTTAGGCGACGAGCGAGAGTGAGCGGACTTGTTCGAGGATCTTTAGACTTTGATTCCAGTTTAGAAATCTCATTGGAATTATACCTTTCGAGACGACAAGGCCGGTATCGTTGTCGAGTCGTGTGTCGAATCGTGATTTTAGAATCTCGGCCCTGAATATTCCTACGCCGTTCCTTTCGCTGCTGCTAAACTGCTATTGGTCGTTGGAGCCGTTTGAGAAAAATTAAAAATTATTGCAAATAATTAAAAAAAAAACAAAAAAAGACGACAATTTTTGAAATAATTTGCCTTTATATCGATGCTTGATGATAAATGCGAGGCTGTGTAAATGCCGACGCCATGTTGGCTTGGGCCGGTTTTTGGGGGGACGCACCTAGAAAAGCCCCCATATCCATTGCATGGTAGCTTACCAAACAATATAAAATTGCTGGTAAATAGTAAATTAAATCAAATAAACAAATAATAGAAAATCCTCGGCTTCCTCGGGTCGAAAAGATCTGCAAGAAATAAAGAAAATTGGAAAAATGGCGACTTACCTTAACTGGTAGACAGGCGTTAATTTTAAGAAATACTTTTTTATCACTATGATCCTCAAAAATAGGAACATTCACTTGCTTATTATCTGTACAGAGTCTGCAAAGCAGCGCGATTTCTTGAAGGCTAGCCATTTTCTTTCAGCCTAAATTGAAATTTCATCGGAAGCCAAAAGGAAAAAACATACACTTTTTGATACAATCCGAAGATTTTAAATGCGGTCTCTTTGGAAGACGAAGTGGAAAATGGAAATGAACGAGAAACGAGAACGAACAACGAACGACAACGAACAACGAACAACGGAACGGAAAGATGACATTTGACATTGACAAGTTAAGGGTTTTCATTTTGTTCTAATAGGCGTTTTCATTTGTGATTGCTTTAGATTACAGTGGCTAAATAAACCTTTACATACAGTGGCGACCAATGAACTATAGCTAAAAACTGGAATGTGCACACATTGCCATATCTGCCAAAAAAATGAAGCCATGAAAGACAGATGCCACAAGGGGGAATGTTGTTTTTTTCTGTTGCTCGCTAACATATGACGTTTTCGAAAGTTTTGTCATATTTCCCTTCACAGGTTTCATCAATTGGAATACGTGTTGGAAGCAATTTTCGCCATTTAACATAATGAGTGCGACAAAAACAGGTATCCCCTCCGCAGCAGCCGCACTAGGCCTCACGTTCGCCATATGTGTTCGCATTCCAGTTTTTGGTTATAGTTCATTGGTGGCGACAATAGAGGTCACGCCGCCATCTTGTTCCCAACCTCTTGTTACTTTTAAATATTAATATATAGGATTTAAATGGACATCTATCATAAAAAATTGAAATCGACCTATTTGATGACCAGTATTAGGTTAATCAAATACGTTGTTTTTCATGATTTATGATGGATGTTCACCTAAATCCCATATATTCATATTTAAAAGTAACAAGAGGTTGGGAACAAGATGGCGGCGTTTTCAATATAAATATATGGGATTTTAGAACCAATCAAAAATAAGACAGCAATTGTCGCCACTGTGGTAATAGAGTCACTGTACTTTAGATCTGCCCGAAGCAGATTGAATTGTCAAAAGTTCTTGTAATCTAAACTACAGTGACTCTATTACCACAGTGGCGACAATTGCTGTCTTATTTTTGATTGGTTCTAAAATCCCATATATTTATATTGAAAACGCCGCCATCTTGTTCCCAACCTCTTGTTACTTTTAAATATGAATATATGGGATTTAGGTGAACATCCATCATAAATCATGAAAAACAACGTATTTGATTAACCTAATACTGGTCATCAAATAGGTCGATTTCAATTTTTTATGATAGATGTCCATTTAAATCCTATATATTATTATTTAAAAGCAACAAGAGGTTGGGAACAAGATGGCGGCGGGACCTCTATTGTCGCCACTGTATGTAAAGGTTTATTTAGCCACTGTAATCTAAACTTTTTTACATTGAGGTGTTTTCTCGCATCTCAAATGTTTTAAAACGTTTTTCAAAACGTTCAAAACAATGTCACATGACGTCATAACTTCTCGGCGTGAGAAAATGATTTGAAAACTTGGATTGGATAGTATTTCAAAACGGTTTGAATTAATTTTCATTTGACGTCATGGGTTCATCGCGAGAATATACTGTTTCAAACCCAAACCTGTTTTGAACCAGTTTCAAAAAAGTGAACACGAGAAAACAAAACAGCTATGATAGTTGTAGAAAACCAAGGATAATAACACACTACTACAGGAGTGCGTTCAAAGACGGCAATGCTAATGCCAAAACCTACTTTTCCCCTTCTACTGGCAATGCCAAATCTGGTGTGAATTTGCTGGAACGCCAAATACCGTTTCTCAATTAGGCAATCCAAACCACGTGACATTCAAGATGGCGTGGCCTCCACACATGGACGAAAAAACACAAAAAATATCTAATTTCTGCCCAACTCAATAGTTTACGTACCTACAAATATTTTATTGAATAATCAAAATCAAAGCTGCAAGCAAAACTCGAAGCAAAATAATTGAAATATGCATGAAAACACATATTCAAAACTAACTGGCTGGACGCCACACCATATTGAATTTGGTCTCATCCAATCAAAATTCGTATAACCATTTCTAGACTCGCTGCCGGGTTCTATTTCACGAGTCGAGTCGAAATTCGTATCGAATTGTCAAAATAGCGATTCTATTTTCCGATTAATCAATACCTTTACACGGTAAGTCCGGAGCTGTCGTATTCGATATCGAGACAATTCGACTCGACTCATAAAATAGAATCCGGGGGTCGGTTAAAAGCACCTCCAAAAGCTACTTTACCGCGGCCGATTCTGAACGTGTAAAGCCAACCGTTTTTGGCACGCTGGAGCCGAACTTGAACGCAATATGCCAATTTTGGCTTGGCTTTAGCCGTTTTTGAACGCAGCCCAGGATTGCTTATCGACCTTGTTTTTGGTAAAAGAAACGACACGCTGTCTACGTAATTACTGGTGTTTTGGCATAGTGGGGGGTTTGAGATTTGAACTACACAGGCCTTATGAGGATACGCTATCCTGTAGTAGTGCGTATTCTCCTTGGTAGAAAGCGACAATAATGATGCACCTGCTGACGTCAAACATAACTTCACTTTCAATAAGGAGACAAACAAAGCGTTCATGACTCACAGCACTTAAAAAAAAATATATGATAAAAAAAGTCACTTCCCCGGGCTTGTCTGAGCAAGGAACAGGTTGAAAAAAAATATATAAATAAAAATACGAGAAATTCATGTTTTTTTCGTATAGTTTTTACTTTTTCCTGATTTTATTTAAAGAGATTTTGAAAAACTAATTTCAAATTAGGCAATTTTTCGCGAGGATAATCAAACATAATCTGTGGTTTGTTTGTTTGTGTTGTTCGGGGCAGCACTTCCTGCTTTGGGGCGTTCGCTAGTGAGCGTTTTATATGATTTATCTGCCATAATCTGAAATAATACAGCTTAGTTCAAGTTAGTGCGACACAAACAAACAAACCTCTGATTATACTCAGATACTCAGATGTTATGTGTCAATAGACCTTTCTATTTTTACCTGGTATGCGCGCGCAACACGAGGCAATGTCTTTTCATTGGCTAGCTAATACAGGTGTGAAGTGATCGTTTTGCACGCTGGGCATTTCTTTATCCTTGTTCATTGCATGTGGTCTGACAAGAATAAATCTAAAGTTGATATTCAACTTGACAAGTGTCATTCAAAAGTTGTTTGACATTTTCATTGACAAATAAACTCTGTTTTTTTTTTAAAGATAAAAGTCAAAATGACATTATGTTGGCAATATAATGTAAAAGTGTCAATGCTTTCAAATTTTTTATGTAGAAAAGGCTTGTGTTGCCAACAAAGTTACTAAATTTTTGACTTGGGGAATTATCTTTAAAAAAAAAACGAACTTTACGTTGCACAACACGCGATTTTTCTCCTTTCCTTTTATCCTGTGCAAATAAGAAGGACGGATTGCTACACGTGAGTCTACTATAATTTGCTACGTTTTGCCTCGTAGTCTTGCACAATGAGCATTATGTGTCTTTTTTTATTTAATGAAGTTTTCGTATTATTACCTCTTTGTCTGGTAAAATAGATAGGTCTATTGTGTAATGTGTAATACTCCCCAAAGTCCTTCCCCATCCAATTCTGGGCCTGCGAGTGACGTCACTAGCAGCATCTCATTGTGATGACGTCACCAGCAGATCTCGATGGAATGCTGTTTGCTGTGCTAGTGAGTTAATTTTTTCGTCGATTTCAAATGTAGAAAAGGTGATTTTCAGTCTGTTCTCACATAAGAAGTTAAAGTGTTCTTAATTCCCGAGTATTCCAGAATTTGGTGGTGGGGGAATTTGACACAATTGACACATAACTTCAGTGGCGATTTATTTTCACCTGGGGCGAGTTCAGAAATAACACACCGGGTGTGAGTGCGATTTTATGGGTGTGACTGAAATGACAATTCTTAGGCGACAACTTTCGTATGAATTTCTGAACGCTTGGTGTGATCAATCGAACATCTCCTCACAAATTTCACAAAATCTATTAGGATTACTTTTTTTTCTTGTTCATTTTTTTAATTTGAAGGAAAAACTTAAATTCTTATTTGTGTTTTGTTTATATTTGGTGGGATTATTGAGATTATGGGAGGAATGGTTGACATTGTTGACATAAAGACACAATCACACCGTAGCCACACCAAAAAATTATAGTGTGACCGGTGCGACACCTGGAGCGCGCCCAAAGTACTTTCTGAACGGCACAGGGTGTGCGCACTCGGTGTGCCTATAGCATTTATGAACGGCTAGTGCATCGCACCGGTGTCACACTCACACTGAGTGTGTCATTCCTGAACTCGCCCCTGTGTAGTTGGTGCAAACGGCCCTCAATGACATATTTGTCCCCGTATCGTGACGTTATGTGATATAATTTAGCTAACGCCTAACCGATGTGTGTAAAAAGTAAAATATGCGTCCCTGCACGTCCGCGGTTGCCACATTGCGTCGAGCACAGACAGGTCTGTAACGGATAGAGATCGTTATCCCTATCGCTATGGCACTTGCTGTCTTCTTCTCTCTTTTCTAAATCAATAGAGAGGGGACGTCAATAGAGATAGAGAAAAGTATCTTTATTCGTTACAGAGTCCCAGTCGGCTTCCCTAGAACAAGCGTCTGCGGATCACACGGAGGCAACGCCACGAATACAGCGCCCATAACGTTTTTGCTTCTTGTTTATTGACGCCTCCACCTCCTTGTCCTGAATCCTGATGAATATTTATTGTTATATTCTAGGATTATTTTGCAATTTCCATTTCGTAAAATATCGATATTATCGATAATATTTAACTAAAAATTTTAGAAAGACTGATGAGAATTAATTTTTTTGGGATGGGGTATCAAGCCCAAGCCAGAACCCGCGTACAAAAAAATAATTGATAAGTCAGGGGCCCAATTCTCCAATTACGACTAAAAATCTCGCAATCGACAAATCACGCATCTAAATATCGAACGCGAATCCTAAACTCTATTCTCGGTTGGTATGCGAATTTAAATAACGCATTCGACAATTGTCGAATGTTTAAACATGGCAACATCTAAATTTTATAGTATTGACATGTTTTTGACAACTGTAAAGTGTCAGAATTTTTGATCATTCAAATAAAAGTGGAGTTTTTGGTGAAAAATAATAAGTTCTAGGTCCTATTTCG